CCCTGGTCAAATTGGTGCTGGTTACGCTCCTGTCTTGGATTGTCACACTGCTCACATCGCCTGTAAATTCTCTGAATTGATTGAAAAGATCGATCGTCGTTCCGGTAAGAAGCTCGAAGATGCACCAAAGTATGTTAAGTCTGGTGACTCTGCTATCGTCAAGATGATCCCCACCAAGCCCATGTGTGTTGAAGCTTATACTGACTATCCTCCTCTCGGTCGTTTCGCCGTCCGTGATATGCGTCAAACCGTTGCTGTTGGTGTCATTAAGGCCGTTGAAAAGGTTGACAAGGCTGGTAAGACTACCAAGTCTGCTGCTAAGGCTGGCAAGAAATAAGCCATCCTTTCTTGTTCATAATTTACAAAATATCTCTGTGTGTACATGATTTTAAAAAGTGATTTAATATATAGCGCTTTTTGTGGGCTTTAATAAATTATACATATTTAACATCCCAATCCATTGTCTTTATGTAGTGGTTTTTTTTAAGACTTGGTGAAGATTATAATGGGAGCATTTATGGTGAACTCCTATAGAGGATGCTTCAGAGATAAGCAACCTCATAGTAGTAGCGTATCATAACATTAACCTGACAACAGATGACAGTACCTTGAAGATTGTGTTGCTAAAACAACCAGAAGAATGAACTGGGGTATTGCTATGAACAATGAAAAGAAAAAGGATTTGTTTTTCGAATTATACAACTTGGGAATCATTAAAAGCATCCTACAACAGAGAATCAAAGACGGTGAAAAGAAAGAAAGCTTTAGCATTCTGTCAGTCAAGCAGCGCTCAAATTTGCGCGTGTTACTATCCGGAGTCATAAACACTATCGACATTGATTACAGAGATGAAGTGGAGATGATTGGTGAGGCAAAGTTGAAGGAAATACTACGACAGCATAAAAGTTCTGTATATAATCACTACCTCGACGAAAGATGGGTTGTCATAAAAGAAACATTGCGCTACTTTTATAGAAAAACAACGACAACAAAAATCTTTGGTGAACACTACATGTACCAGAAAATAGGGCACTTCTTCTCCTATACATGTGGAGTCACTATACAACACCACACTATCAAAGTGTATACCTAACCTAAGGCTGTTCAATTCACTCTCTCTTATATAAAATACGAATTGATCATAGTTACACGTATTCTACATTAAACAATATGAAAATATTTCGGTTCCTGTGCAAATTTAGCGTGGTGCCACACATTGAAAAGTTTTGTTGACGACATCACAGATTATTAGTTCCTTCTCGTGAGTTTCCTCGTGCGCGTAGTGTACAGTACTATGTCTTATCACAAAAAAGCAAAATCATTGAGGACAATAAAACAGATCACTAGTCCTTCGAGCTAAAAATATTTACCACAGTGACTTTATCTTGTAACTATAACAAAGATATAAAAGGATCACTTTCTGTACTGTTTAGTCTTAAATAGCAACAAAACTTTTAAAAAACGGCCTATACTTTTGGGCGGGCACTATACATGCACCCTTCAAAAACTCAGCTCTATGACTTGCGTTTCAAGCTGATGTCGTGTACACTTTTTTCTTTAATAATAATATGGCTGACGAAGGAAATTGGTGCTTGATTGAAAGCGATCCTGGTAAATCAAATGAGTATAGCTTAAGAAGGACTATTTCTAATTCAACAAAGGTGTCTTTACCGAACTCATTTCAAACATGGGCTGCCGAGGCGTACAAGTAGAAGAAATATGGAGTTTAGATGAAGGAACAATGGGAGAATTAAAGTAAAGCATTGTCTAAATCATTTGGACAGACTTACTAAACTCAATAACAAACTAGACCTGTCTATGGCCTGATATTTTTATTTAAATGGCAAAACAACAGAAACCACCAAAATGATCTACCTCCTCCTGATATAACCGCCGATCACGTCTTTTTTGCTAATCAGGTCATCACTAATGCATGTGCAACTCAAGCTATCTTGTCTATTCTGTTAAACAGAGATGATATCGATATTGGTCAAGAATTGAAGAACTTTAAAGAATTCACGCAGGACTTCCCGCCTGATGTAAGCGCATAACAGAGTACAGCTTCAGGAAGACACTAAACGTTATTAGATGAAAGGATTGGCAATATCTAACAGTGACCTTATACGATCCGTACACAACAGCTTTGCTCGTTCAGATCCGTTTGTTAATGAAATTGTTGATCCTGATGCTGGAAAAGATCAAGATGTGTATCACTTTATTGCCTATTTGCCTAAACATGGAGCACTTTACGAATTGGACGGATTGAGCAGTGGGCCCGTGAACTTAGGTGCCTGTGACGAAAATGATTGGGTACGTAAGGCGAATGAAGCAATCATGAAGCGAATGGAGCAATATGGAGCATCAGAGTTGCACTTTAGCTTGATGGCACTGACAAAAGATCGTATTGAGCTGTACGAGGAGCAGATTGAAGAACTGGATGGTTTAATTCTATCTCTATCAGAAGATGCAGTGGAAGAACGAAACAGGTTGAACAGTGAACGTAGTGTGCTGACTCATAAGCTACAGATTGAGAAAGAAAAGAGACAAAGATGGCATGTAAGTATCAATGGCGTACATTTTATCTTTCATCAGCTCAATGTGGTTTTTTTTTTGCGATTATAGAGAGAAAATGCGCTACGAAAGCACAACTTTATTCCATTGATATACAATTTATTGAGACATCTTGCTGAAAAAGACCAATTGCAATCACTGGTGACAAAAGCAAAAGAAAAAGCCGCTACATCAGCAGCCTCAAAAAAGCAATAAACATACTGATTTGATATCTTGTTTAGTATATGCCCTAAGGCTACTTTAACTATAATAAATAAATGGCGTTGAAATAACACTATTAGATAAAATACATAGACTTTTATTGCTCTATCAGAACAGCCTACAATTTATTATAAAAATAAAGAACACTTTCTAATCTGGCACTCTATAATAGAAGAAGCATCATAATCAACAGACAAAGAAAAATAATCAATAGACTGGCAATTGAGAATAATTACAAAACGGGGACTATCTTTAAATGGTTCATATTTCCTTATTACTCCATTTCCTGATGTCATGTCTATAAAGCATTGCTTCTTTCCCGACTTCTTTGTTGTAGCTATTAAAATTGCCTGCTTCATTAAGTTGCTTTTGTCATGACTACACGAGTATTCACAGTTATGAAGCTTGAGGCTTAAGTGATCAAAAGAAGTGTCTGGCATTTCTATTATATACTTTGTTGTCTTTTGGGAGGATTTATGCGAGATGATTAGATTGTGTAATGCTGGCAGTAAGCGTGCATAGGCGGCAAGTGATCCATTCTCTATTTCTTGTACATCCAATGAGAGCGTTTTCACAGAAGAATTTAATGGTGCCCCTGCTGTCATTGCTGCTTCTGACGGTAAACGTAAGCAATCAGCGTCAAGATGGAAAGTGTGCAGCTCTTTACACGCTTCGAGGCTATCTTCAATCCATGCTATGATATCTTTGGATTTCCCAAAATACTCTAAGGAGTAGTTATTTATGTTTTGATAATAATTGCTAAATATTCGCTTGAGACTTTCTCTCTCTTCTTTTGTATCTTCACATTTGAAGGTCATTGCATTTTTACAAAGAGTAAGCTCTGAAGTTATGTAGCCTACACGAATTAGGATGTCTACATTGGGCGTAAATCTTATGTAGTTCTCAACCAGAGAGGATCCAATTGGTGCATAGAATTCATAATCATGAAATTTAGCCAGGTATTTCATGAGCTCATTTCCATTTTCTGCAAAGTAACTTTCTAGGTCGAGTCTCCAGTCAGTAAACAGCACTATATCATAACAAATTCTCAAGGTGAGAGTGTCTAGGTTGGGAAACTTGTGAATAACATAACGAAGGACATCTTTATGAAAGAGGAGCGTCACATCTAGCTTCTTGACTTTATTGTGTGGCTGTATCGAGGACATGTCGTAGTTCTCCGAATAATTGTCTGGTATATTTATGTTCCAATCATATTTGACACAATGTGAGCTTAAAGATATTAAATTTGGGCAACACTGAATAATCTCATCATAGTCCATGAGAACTGAACAAGAAACATCATTCACAGCCAGGTGTGTCAAGTTGTTAAAGGTTGGTAACTGAGGGGATAAAACAGCAGCATAAGAGGAATATCGTGGCCAATACAAATGAGTCAGTTTCTGGCGGCAAGCAATGGCAATCTCGACGTAGTAAGGAAGCCCATCGTCATTCTCTAAATCAGGTCGTATAGGATAAGGGAGCTCTTTGATGTTTTGCCAGCATGTTGTTGTAATAGTATCAAGAGCAAGCCATTGATCACGGCCAGTAAGCTCACCTTTAACACGGTCTACGGCTGGACAGACTTTGGCAAGCTCAAAAAGATTCTGTGAAGGGAAGCTCCAAAGTGTTGATTCATAATCTTTTGGAGTTCTTCTAAATCTACTGCCTTCGTTGCCATAAAAAGTTATCGTTCTAGTAAACCACCCTGAATGACTATTTTGCATACACTTGATAAACTTTTCGATTATTGTGGCGCTATCAAACGTGATTTCACCATACAGACATTCCCTTGCAGTCTGACTCCAACTTTTACAAGTCAACTGATATTGTGTTAACCAGCTTGGTTTATATCTCCAGTCTTGCTTAACATAACTGAATACATTTTCCAGAATCTCAGCAGGAAGTTCACGCCAGGTTGGCATTTTTTTGTTGTCAGCAATAAAAGGCTTTTTTCTTTACAGAAAAGAAAGACAGAAAAACAAAAAAAGAGAGGCTGTGCAAATAAAAGAACCATATGATCTCAAAAGAATAGCCAACTTATTTTGAGGCTTTTCATATATTTTTACTAACAGCCAAAAAAAGTGCATTTAGAAAAGTTTTATTTCATAATGTTTATTGCCACAAACTTAGTTACTAATAGTTGCAAAGTTTTTAGGGTATTTTACCTTTATCGATTTAATACCATTTTCCACGGCGTTACACGCTCTGCCGGGTTTTTACAAGGTACGACACGGTGTGAGCGTTGAAGCATGGCAAAAAAAGTAAAGTAAAAACGCCCCTTGCTTTGGATTTGAAGGCTTGAATCATTTGGCAGATTTATTCTATTTTTTTTTTTTCATTTACATTAGTTTATAGATCACCCTATTGCATTGTAGCCACAATCGCAAGGGACAGCGTTTCCGAAGTAATAAAAGAGAGTCAGCGAAGTAACTTTATAAAAATTTTGATAAGCTAATCCCTCCCTTCTGAGAGAAAGGCTACCTACTTTTTCGAGCATCATAAAAGTTACTATCAGAATTCGGGTAACCCGTAAAAGCTTGAGAGAAAAAAGAAAAAATAGAATGAAAAAAGGCCTTCTTTTGTACTTTTTTGTCTGTTCACGTCTGTAACTTTGAAAAGACAAAAAAGGGCGGTCCTGAGTTGGAACTGCTGCATGAATTTTTTGTTGGCTGAGAAGCCAAATAGAGCTGGATTTTGAAGGAGCGCATGTTTGAATACTCCTGAACATTTTTTATCACACTCTTAAACACCTTTCAACATGCGTAAACATGCTTAAATATCCTTGAAAGCAGCTTTGAACACTCTTGAACTTTCTTGTGTTGACTCCATGTAACTAATTAATAAATCTTGGATGTTATGTGAATATAGTAAGAGCTTATTTAACTCATCATTTTAACCTTCCATCTATGAAATTAGACCTGTAAACATGTGAACATGATTCAGTATACTAAAGACTATTAGTATAGTTTAATCTTATTAAATCTAGCAGGATTTATAACAGCCAACCATGAGTAAATAATAAACAAATCAGGGTAACTTTGATAAGCCTCAATAACTCACTAGGCATTAAAAAGCTCCCAGTATAAAAATATAACATTTGAAATAAACATTCAAGATAGCTATGACACAACTAAGTAGCTGCAAAAGTGCACAATGGAGATGTGACGGTATAACACTCCTTAAGTCGCTTTACTTTCAATAAATATAACAAAAAAACACACACACGGATACATTTAATCTTCATATTTTCTTAGCAAGCATTTATTCAATTTCCTTTTTTTGGATGAGTTCTACTGATTAAAGTTCTACTATTGCTTAATATGATTAAACAAGTGTTATAGCGGGTGAGTACCACATCTCTATTGTTCACTCGGATGTGGTAGTATGTTTTTCCGATGAAGATAATATTTGCCACTTTGTATTGTGAAAGTGCTGTAGGCCGACATAAGCGATTGTGCTTTATATTTCTTAATATCAACACTGACACATTTCATGTGGTTCTTAACTCCAATTGAATAACCGTACTAGGCACGACGGAACAAACAGAAGTTGCATACTGTATTGTAAAGTGTTGATTTCGCTCATGCTGAGATGGAAAAGGGGGCTTGAGGCGACTTTTGAGATTCCCTTTTTTGGTCTTTTTCTTTTTCCTTCAATCTTTACAATATGAAAATAAAAGTGAAATCTTGGAATATGGTCGCTCAATGGTCTTGGGATGTAAAGGAAGACGACGATGTTTGTGGAATTTGTCATTCAGAATATGATGCATGTTGTCCAACTTGCAAGATGCCAGGAGACGAATGTCCTTTGATCTGGGGTGAATGTACACACGTTTTTCATTTACATTGTATCATGACTTGGTTTCAGAATTCGACGCATGGAGAACGATGTCCCATGGATCGACAACCATGGAACACAGCTAGTGCATCAAATTAAATATTACTAAAGTATCAAGCAAAGCATTATATACAGCTACTTTATCACTATTTATTGTAAGCCTCAGCGTACATGTGGAGAACACGAAAAAAGTGTAATTTGAATGTTATTGAGACTATAGAGAACGAAGGAATACAGCATATGACTTATAATCATTGGCTAATTATATAATAAAGCCTTGACTTATTTCATTAGATTAATATATGAAAAAACAAATAAAGCTACTATTGATTATGATGTACAAAGGCCAGAAAGACGCCCTGCTTTGTATTATGCTGAAAAAGTGTATAGGCATTTACAAGCCTCAGATACAGGTAACACATCTATGATCTTGCAAACTGTAATTTCAGTATCTGGGGTCAATCAAAAGCTATATTCTTTATATATGAGCTTTAGCAGCAAATTAATAGTATCTAATGAGTAACACAATCTACAAAGGCTGTTTTCTTTCTAGCTACTTTACATATATATACAGCTTTACGCTGAAAGATAATCCTCGTTTGAATTGATGCAAGTGGTGCAATAGCGCATCAGATATCAGTTCCCAAAATTAAAACTGGGCTCCATTTTCCTTATTAGCCCAAAGTGAATGAATTGATTGCGTATACACACTTCCATAGTTGGGAGTGGTGTTTCGGAGCAAATAAGCAACACATCACGCAGCAACGTGTGTTTTATGCGCACAGTTTTTAATTTTGGCGCATAGTTTCTTATTAGAACAATGATAAAAAAAAAAAAACAAAAACAAAGCGAATGTTCATTTTCATTAATAATATTTATCCTAGTTCTATGTGGTATCCTCTATTTAACAACCCTTCATGACACCATGTCCGCAATGCCGCACTCTCTTTACTAAGCAGATCCGTGTAACCATAGGCCATCCTTTTTATGCAACAAGCAAAGGCATATATAAAGGCAGCTTTCTTTCGTAAAAAGGTTTCAGTATACAAAAGCCAAAAAGTAAATCAATCAAGAGAGAACATATGACAGCCAATAATGAACGTATCTTTATCATTGGCGGTACTGGTAACGTTGGTACTACCCTCGTCCGTGAGCTACTTGCCAAGAATGCTGCTGTAACTCTGTTTACACGTAACCCTGACAAGGCCAATGCTCTCTTCTCAAGCAATCCTCTTATTCGTATTGTCCAAGGCGATCTTCAAAATCTCACAGTACTAAAGGAAGCCATCAAGGGCCACACGAGACTGTTCATTCTGGTTGGCGGCCTAGACGACGGTCTTCCCATCAAAACGGCTATTGCTACCTATGGTTATGAAGCAGGCGTTCGTCAAGTCGTGGATATTTCAAGTGTTTACGCAAGCGCATCAACAAGAGGAACCTTTATGGGTGATTTCAGTCAGCGAGAGGAAGAGGAGATATTGAAGATTCCTAACCGTGGATACTTTGTTGCCTTACGTCCTGGTCGGTTCATGTCAAACATGTTTTTTGTTGATCCTCCCAGAGATAATGAGATTACAGATACCTCTGAACCTGATGAACTTTGTGGATGGATATCACCTAATGATATTGGCGCTGTAGCTGCTGTGGTGTTGACTGATGATGTAGAAAAACACAAGGATTTTGTTTATGAATTGAATGGTGATGCTGTAACAGGAAATCAACGCGCTGAGATCTTTACTCGCATACTCGGTCGATCAATCACATATAAGAAGGTCTCTGCTGTTGAATACTACAACACATTCACCACAAAAGTATTTCCAAATAATCATCGTATGGGCTATGACTTGGCTACCAAAAAAATTTGCTTTGACAAGAATTTTTCTACAGTAACTGATGGCATCGAAATCTTGCTGGGCAGAAAGCCAGAAACAGTGGAAGAGTTCCTCATCAAGAATAAGCATCGTTTTAAATAAAGAGCCAAGCCAGCCTCTCCCTTTTGTTTAGTTGACTTCTTTTTACCTTACTAGATTGCTCATGTAAAACTATCTTGTCCTATAAATGACATTGTGTAAAGAGAAAATATAAAATCATAGATAATAAAGAATAATAACCACATTTATTTAAGACCATTAGCAAACTTATGATTGACTACTTGTGCTACTTGTGAAAAGAAGCTACCACGCCTCTTGTCTTTGTTTTTACTATTTCTTCTGCCACCCAGATGCTTGGTTAACTTTTCATCTCCTTTATGAAATATTCCAATAACTTTGTTTTCGATTTCCTTTGTAATTTGGCGCTTGACAACATTTGTCAATACAGGATTGAATACTTTATAAAAGTTTCTAATAACAAAAAAATAATGAATGTATAGCTCTGAATATACTTTCTTTAATAGTGGCTTACCCATGCTTGCTTTCCTTTATTCTTATGTCAAGTTTATTGATGTGACAGAAGCAGTGCTGTAACTGGAACCGATGCAGTTTATCCATAGAGTCACTTGCCACTTTCACGGATAGTTTTAGCCCATGAATCTAGTAACACAAGATCTTAGTTTTTTTTTTCTTGGGTTGAATAATAGTTAGCTTACGTGAACCGTAGCAACCCCCAAGTCTGTTATATCAAAGAATCCGACTTTACGCTTGTACTGAAATTTAACGTCTTCCATGATCGTCTCTATGTCATAAAGATGGAGGAGTAAACCTTGAACACTGGTTGATACTACTTTGGACTTTGGGTGGAAGCGTAAGTTGTCATCCAACTACAGAAATAACACATTGTTTTGGTTAGTCAACAGGTTATTATTATAAATATCTCATTTTTACCTTTAGTTCAATAGTCTCAGGCATTAATGTATCGCCCGACAGAACCATATTGCTAATGACCATTGTATTTTCTTTACTTTCACGAATGGTAAATGGAGGCAAAGGAACATATTTGATCTGTTCGATGAGTGCAGGAAGCAATGTCATCTTAAGGTCATCCAACAAGTGAGGCTTCAAAGTGGCCATTCCATTCCTTACATAATAAATGTAAATATATAGCAAGTGTTGATTGTTATGAAACTTACCATTTAGTATACCACAGACGTTGATGGATCGATTGAAGTCTTTGTGATATTTCTTTTGAGAGAGGATCTTCCTTAAAGGCTTGTATGTTACTCTGAGCTTCATGAATAAGATTCGTCATCATTTTCTGATAACTGTTGACGACACCAGAGTCTTGAATCTCTTGAATAAATGACGACCAAGAGCTTTTATTGAACTCATCATCCAGCGTTTCATGTATAAGTATTCTCGCTTTAATATACAAATCATACAGCTTCTCATCTGTTTTTACAATGCATGCCAAGTTATTCAAGTCCTTGATGAATGGATCAAGTCGAATATCTCTTGACCACCTTTCGAGGATTCTTTTAGCTTCTAGAGCTGCCAATTCCCAATCCGGTATATTCAAATTCGGATTAGTGTAATCAAAGGCTTTGCCTGCACCGTTTTGGTTGCTTAGTTGCTTTATAGGCTGAGAGGACAGACGGATGGTCCAGATGACGACGAGTGTCAACAATGCTTCAAGTGATGATTTGTACTCTGGGTTTTCTTTAACTAGATCAAATATGTTTTTCAAATGAGAAATAAGGTCGTCCTCATTAACGTCATTATTCCGCAAGAGGTCTGGATTCGAGCCTCGTAGATCTTCTACAACATGCTCAGGTAATATCCTATCAGCTACACCTTTCCCTTTGTCATTTGAGTGGCTAGCGGCGTTTTTAGATAGAATGTTCTGAGCGATTAACAATATGGTGCTCAATAGAGATCTGAAGCGTGAGTCAAATAGACAGTGCCTGATCACTTTTAAAGTCGTCAAGAGCTTCACTCCTGAAGGTTCCATGTCTTGGAAACACAATTGGGTTAAAAAAAAAAAGAAGATAGGTAAAAGTGTGTATTTTACCTTGTAATTCGGATGCTCGCTTTGCATGGAAAATCATGGATTGCAAGAGTTCATCTGGGTTTTTAGTATCAAGCGCCCTTTGGAGCACGTCTAAAAGACCTCGTATATCTTTGAGCACATACTGTCCATCTTCTGATATCGGCTGTTCTTTAATCACATCACTGTTCAAGAACCTGCTAATGATGGAGTGTATCTGTCGGTTGGTGGGTAATTTTCCTTGCTGCATATATGTGAATTGTTCAGCTACTGCTGCCTTCTCAAGTGATGCTATTGATTTGCGACGTTCCTCTGATTTCCGTCGTTCTGATTGCTGTGATAATCGTCTGACAACGGGCCCTACTTTGTCCTCTGTGAGAGGCACTCGCTGAGGACAACTATAAGAATCTGATCTCGATACTAAATAGACTGTAGCCATATTTATAAAATAATACTGCAGAAAAAAAAAAGGGAAGCATGATCAAACCTACGGTATTTTTTTTATAATTTTTCAAGTGCGGCAATCAGCGAAACAATCAAGTTGCATAAAGATTTTATTAAGCCAATAACAAATCATATGTGTCGTTTTTATGTGAAAGGACAAAGACATCGCATACATGGTCCACATCCTTAGTATAACCCGTAAGTAAGTCCATGACCCTTAAACCACCTACTCGTTGTAGACCAGGTGTCAGAGGGAAAAATTCGAGTTCTGTTTCTGTAAACTGATTTGGGCCAACTTCACCCAGTTGCCGACTACCTAATCCCGACAATAACACAGACCCCATTTTTGTCTTGACAGCTGAAAGCACAAGTTTCATATTTTCGTTTGAGTGATTGATGACGCGAATACCTAAGCGGAAAGGTGTCTCCAGCACAACCTTGACATCACCTTCTTGTGGCCAAAAGGGTTGAATCTCTATGTCCTCGAGTAAGGGCGCCTTTCGTGTGAGCTGTGATGTTTGAAGACGTCCCATATCACCTAGAGCTGTTCGCCAGACAATATCAAGCTTGCCTAGAGCATTTGTAGTTCGTGATATACGATCAGTCGCTGAGTGGCGAGGTGAGAGCATGTAGAGGTACTGCCGCACATCTTGAGGATGAATAAAATGGTTTCCAAAGACTGTCTTATCATTTGACTCGTCAATGATCTGATTTAAGCTTTCATATTGAAAGTGTTCCGACGGCTCGAACTTCATGCGTTCTAGATACATGGGACTAGCCGAGACATTTTGCAGCTGAGCTTCTAGAAAGACACGGCCATCAATCATATTGTTCAACTTAGTCTTGACCGCAAGTGGATTCGAGACCTGGAACTTGTAGAATTTTCGAAAATGGCGTTTTCTGCCGTCACCTATATAATGTACAGAACAGACGAGGATATGAACACCGAGTTCCTTGATCTCATGCGACACGGTGATGTCCCTAGTCGATGACGGTGTTAGATCAAGAGGCGATGCTTCGGCAAGTAGAAAACGCTGTGAAGAAGTTTGTAGCTCGATCTTGGCTGTCATCTGATGGATGGGTATAGGTGATTCATTATTGATGCTTATAAGTGTACTAAAGGTCTCACCAAGGTATATATTTCCAAACGCGGAAGGGAGTTTGAGCATTTGACTTAAACCAAAGTCTCGAATGTGTAGTTCACTGGGTTGAATAGGTTGACATGTAATGAGATCTAGGATATTATTGTTCTCAAGTCCTTCAACCAAAGACGTTGATTCTGCCGATTCATAGTATACAGGTAGAGTAGAAACAAATTGAGGTCTAGATAAACGCATGACTTTAAGTGATAATAAATGAGGCAAGTGATCATCTTGAGTGGGCATTGTTGTTGCTGCTGTTGTCATGTTTGTTGTTGCTGTACTTGAGCGTGCAGGAGTGGTTGGAACTGCTGTCATTTAGTACAAAAGTAATTACTCTATCTATCTTTTTTTTTTTGTTTTTTTTTGAAACTAAGAAAAAGAGAGAAAGAGAGAGACAGGCAACCCCTTTATTTCCGTTTTAGACCTTGAGTAACATGATTCATTATCATATGGAAACATCATTGTTTTCTAAATTATAATAAAAATGTGTACACGATCAGCTTTATTACACTAAAACATTGGTTATTAATGCATGTAGCTTAATAGATTGCCAGAATTTACTTGTCTGTTTCAAGATTGCATAAGCGATTGGACTCTTGGCTCTATATAAGATTAAAAACAATATCAACGCTGTCAACAGATTCACTCCGGCATGTTTTAAAGCAGCCTAACAAAAAAAGAAGAAGTTATAAACACTAGTGCAACCAATAGATATGCTTAGTACTTTGATCACCCATTTCCATCCATCATCTTCACTGTTATTATTATTATTGTTGTTGTTATTATTATTAGAGGTATTACGGTTACTATTATTGTTAGTGTCTATATCATTGGATGATGAGTTTGTCTTTCTATACTGTAGTGTTCTTTGTTTATCTCTTTCAACTAATTCTCTACGTATATCGTCAATACGTTCATTTAATGCAACAATTTCATTCTGTAAGGATTCTAATGCTCGCTTTGTCGCTGGTCCTAGCGCATGGAAGGATTCATGATGACTGGAGGTAGGTGTATAGACCAGTCTATGATTTTGTGGTGTCGCTGTCACAGAAGATGAATTACTAGATGCTACAAAACTAGGTCTAGCAGAAGGTGAAGGTAGCCGTAAGGAACCGGCTGATGTAGGTGTTCTTAAATTTCTTTCTTTTATGGCTGGATGTTGTGCCCAAGGGTTACCATCGATCAATTGATTCTCTTCATGTTCATTAAATGAACTAGGTAACAAGTCTCTGTTTATCTGCAGCCCTCTTCTCGTCATACTCATGGACGAAGGTGGTCTCAAGGTAGTAGGTGCTTGACGAGGTGTCGCAGGTGCTGTCACCATAGTCTGTGTAGAAGCAACAGAAGCAGGTCGACGATTCATGACCATAGTACGTTCTTGTATATTTCGAAGGTAATTTTGCTCTTCTTCATCCTCTGATGCTATGCTCGTATCTATTTTATAAACATCAATTCTTTTTTTTTCTCCCCTTTTAAGATGAATGATTACCATCCATATCTGATAGTTCATCATCTGTTGTGTCTTCCCCTGATGGTCGCATGACTGCAAAAGTATGAATAATGCGTTGTGCCTCTTCTCTACCCATGTTCTTTTTATATGCCTATTTACTCTCTTTTTTTTAATGACTCGGTCATTTAAATGGAATTAGATATATTCAGTATTACTTCAGTTGCTACTCTCAGTAGTGCTTCTACATAGCAGTGCATAGCCTCTAATTTAGACATGCCTTCAAGTTTCTTCCAGGCGTCCCTGTTAAAGGGTTTAGAATATATATATCTTTATATATATAGAAAGTACCATTTGGCTCTTCCAACCACGTCAAATAAACCTGGTCTTTGCGTATTAATGTCTCCCTCTGATACTTGTTTATAAAGTGCATATAACTTTTGAAATGTGTCTAAGTTCATCTGTGTGTATTTGACAATATACTTGTTACCTCTAGTTTTTGGTTTTTAGTAGGTTGAAAGTTTGAACTTGCAGGTAAGTTTTGTACAAAATATAGGGCCTTTTTATATCTTTGTTGTATAAACCGATCTGTATAATGAGGTGGAATATGAGACATATGCTTGAATATATATATAAAAAAAAAGAGAGAGGACAAGGAAATTCACATGAATAAAATTTATTGTTTATAAGCCAATCATGTTCTACGAGCAAAATCGATTAAACATAAGCTATAATGAATCTGTTCTGATAATCGACCAAATTCTGTATTTTGAATGCTTAGAATAGTCTTTATCTTTTCATGAATATCAATGCTAGTAGATGTGATGATCAAGTCTCCATGAATGGCCAAGAAGACGGAAAGCCATGCTTGAGCAAGTTCAAAGTTCTTTCTTGATTTTAACATATAAACAATCGCCTCTAAAAAGTAATTCAAGACTGTCAGCTCACCATCTATCGTAAATGATCTCAATTCGACATCAATTGCTGCTGGGCTCAATGTTTTAGCATAGTTTACAAATGCATCGTCTATATTATTGATATGTTAAACATTGCTCTTCTGTATATATGTTTAATAACTTACAATTGCTGGATTCATGACCAGATCTTAATAATTTACTATATTCAGTCTCTGTATTCAATTGATTCAAACTAAGTTGCTTTGTCTTTGTTTGTTCGTCTTGTTTATCTTTATCTACATCCATGGGCTCTAGATTGAATTGTGCCTTTGCACCAGGTAAAGTCGGTAAAAAGAATGGCGCCTTCTCTGGTAGTTTGGGTGCTTCCTTGGGCTTATTACGTAGTTTGATTGTATCTAGGTGTAGTAAATTCTGCCATTTGGCTCTAGGTTCCATTGACATGGTAATCATTTGCTCTGCCAACTGTTCTACTGTGTCTAATGATTCTTCTCTTTTGATATCCACCTCTTCATCATCCTCTACATCAGATTCATCCTGATCACCTTGCATGCTCGGTAAATCTAACAGTTGTGCTTCATCATCATCCGTAATGTGACGTAAAGAGATATTCGAATACTGTGTACGGTTCGCCCAGAGGAAAATACCATTATTGTCTACATGTGCCGTGGCTAAAAAGTCACCCTCAGGTGAAAAGGCCAAACAGGTCACAATGTCCTCTACTCTGAATATATCAATCATCGACCCCGTTGGTAAATCCCAAGTACGAACGGTGCTATCTAGAGAGGCAGATACAATCCATCGACTATCAGGGCTAAACACGAAATCGGTAATTCGGTTTCGGTGTCCCCAGAATTCACGAATGACCTTGTGTGTTTCAAGATCAACGACTCGAATACCCAAATCATCGCATGCAACAGCTAGCAAATCATTATCCATGTGATAGCGAATGGCCACAACGGGTGACTCAAGGTCAATCGTATGGATCACTTTGGCTGTTTTGATATCCCATATCTATAGAGCCGAATTAATATCATCTTTTTCATTAGGGCAGCTGGGGTACTCACCTTGATGGTTTTATCAACAGAAGCAGTGATAAGGTATCGGTTAATATTATCTGTGGTTAAACCTGTAATCGCTTTCTTGTGTCCATCTGGGCCATCAAATGTCTTGCGATGTATTCCAGATTGTACATTATACATATCAATTCGTCCAGATGCACATCCCAAATATCCAAAGTTACCACAGGTTGAAATACATGTTGATTTGACAGCACTCTTGTCTGTACTTATCAGCACATGTGATCCCAATCGTTTATTCTTGGATGTCCATGTACGTGCTGCATTATCGTTGGCATGACAGGTGATAATATTGTCCCACTGCTTGACCTTGGCCATGTTGATATCAAAGTCAACGATCTGTGGCAACTTCAAGTCCTCTGCACGCACGCCCCGTTCCTTAGCCTTCTTTGTCAAATGGCCTTGCGAAAATTCAAAGTTTTGTGTGTCGAGGATGGTACTGAAGCATCGGAGTGAATGATCTCTACCAGCACTCAAAATGGCTCTACCAAAGTATCTAATTTTCGAAGGAGGCGCATGGTGACCGCTACGAGCTTTGAATGGAAATGGAACCGAGTTGTGTTTTTCAAATATCCATTGCTACAAAAGGGGATATAGAGTTAATTCACACACTTTCCTGTCTAATTATAAACCTTTCATTACATTACCTTCACAGCGTTATCTGTGCCACCTGTGGTAAGAATGGGCTGATTGTTCAAGAAGGTAAGGGAGGTGATATAGCCATCATGTGCATTCTTCATAATATGAGCTAATCTACGTTCTGAGAGATCCCACAAGGCAACATCACCATGCATGTTTCCTGTTGCCATCATATGCTCGCCATCTAAACAAGAGTTAGTGTCATTTTGCAAAGCTTTCATACAATTTCCATTACCTGTTCTAAACGTGATGGCAGTAACACGATCATCCTGTCGAACACTATCAATCTTTTCATCTGCTCTAATGTTGTAAAGAATGACTGTACCATCGAGCAAACCCACGGCGACGACATCGACTACGGGTGATTGAACAAGACAGGTAATGGCTGATCCCATATATCTAAACTGATACACCATCTTGTTGGATCGTATATTCCAAATTTGCATTGTGCCTTGCGTGCTAGACACCAAAATCTTGTTCAAATAAGTGCTAGGATGAAGCATAGCTGTTGCAGTAAACTCATTTCCAAATTCAATCTCGGTATACAAATCGTTGGTGGTCGTATCCCAGACTTTCAAGGTGTTGTCGTCGCAAAGAGCTACCATATATCCACCAAGGACAAGAATCTGCATGATTGTGAAATCGCCTGTTCCGCCCACTTGCGACACTTGCTTGCCTCGAAGATATCCAAATACTGTATTGCCTGCAGCTGCGTACATTAACTTTTTATAAGCGGCCATGGCTGTGATCGGCTTTTCGGTAGGTGTGCTCACAAATAAGAGATTCATTTTTGACATCTAAAAAAGAAAGGTGTCAATGTTGTTTCATTTGGGACGATCGCTCATATTTTTTTTATATTTACATCGTAAGTCTGGAAGCTTCGTCCAACGCAGGTTGTCAATAAATAACTCTGTCCTAAACTGTTGATGACATAAGGAACATCGTTTGTAACATAGCCAATGGCTCTAAAAGGCTGGTATATTCTTGAATGTTTAGGACTCTGTCTTTTTTCTAAACGTCTCTTCTTGCTCAATTCAACCATACTTTTTAAAAAAAGGAAAAAAAAAGAAGTAAAGCACTTTTAAAAAGAGAAACTTTATGAAAGGAGGGGATTAGAGGAAAATTACACGCAAAAGCCACAAAAATATATAAAGCAGTCACTATTTACAAGCAACCACACGATAAGGCGGTTAGACAAGTAGATAAAAAGCCTCTCTTCGAATCGTCTGTCTGCTGTTGACGGTTGTCGATGGTATGATAGTTGACAATGGCTGCATCAGATAACATGGGTTGTGCTGATCTATACATGTGTCGACTGTATCGGTTACTTGTGTTATTGTTAGTTGTAGTGGTATTGGTTGTGGGTGGTGTCATGGTATGATTGTTTTGCTGTCTTGGAATCACTGCGTTGTTAAGGGCGGCAACCGCTGTGTTTCGACGATAGTAGCTAGATCGATGCTATACAAAGATAGAGTATGATTATTTTTCTCTTCTTCATTTGAAACGGGTGTATGTGTTACCTCCCAGCCCTTTCCGTCGTTTAGTAACATCCAGTCATAGATGCCATCATCTATCTCGCCTATTGATTCAAGCACTTTATCAAACAGCTCCTTCATGTATTCATAATTGGGGTTTTCTTCAAACCCGAGCCTTCGTGCATATTGCAAGTAAAGTCCAAATTCCTCTGTAATACAAAGCATCAGCCAGTTTCTCTCCTTTTTTTTTTTTTTTTTTTAACAAAGTTACCTGGAAATCCTGCACATAAATCGTTAATACTTGTCGTCTGTTTCTTTTCACCGATTCTTTCATATTTTTGTTTATTTGTTGCTGCCTTTAGACCTTGCCAAGGTAATGAGCCTCTCAAGAAATACATAAATACATGCCCTAGTGACTCTAAATCGTCTCTTCTGGATTGTTCTCGTCCCAAGTGGGTATTGATACTCATATAACGAGCTGTACCTGATAGACTCTTCTTTTCTCTGTAAGGTATATGTTGCTTTGTTTTTGGATCACGGTAAAGCTTCGCCATACCAAAGTCGATGAGGTAAATGGTGTTGGCATTTTTTGTGTTTGGACGTCCGATCAGAAAGTTATCTGGCTTGATATCACGGTAAATGAGATTGCGCTCATGTATCGATTGTATACGTGTAATCTAAAGGGAGTTAATAAAAGGAAGAGCATAGGATATAGACTACCATTTGCTTTGCCAACATGGCTACGGTTTTAATAGAGAATTTACGGGAACACATATCAAATAGATCCTCTAGGCTTGGCCCTAGTAAATCGATCACGAGTATACTATGGAGGCCTTCTTGACCAAAATAGTAAGCTGCAGGAATACCGGCTACATGTACAAAAGTAAGTCGAGTTCGTATATTGAAGTTGGCATTACACTTTACGTAAACCAGCCAAGACTTTATAGGTTCTATATTCATCACGTAATTGAGGTGCATCTGACTTTCTTGATTCAAATTTGATAGCTACTTGTTGGTTGTTCATGAGATTGACACCTAGAATAATAAGGATATAAATATCAAATAATAATAATAATAGCACTATGTCATTTACCTTCGTATATAATACCAAAACTTCCTTCGCCTATTTTACGACCCACTTTATAGTGTACTCCTACCACATTTGAAGTAGTGACAGACGACGAAGAATTAGTACGTGGTTGTCGATAGTGATCAGGCATACAAAATAATATAGAAAAAGAACAAGTGCACAAAATACGTAAACAAAGAAAATTTAAATAAAAAAAAAGATCACACACAAAAAATAATGTCTCTTTCTTTTTAATAAGCTGATGTTTTACATATATCTTACTTTATGTCTTCCTTTTTTCTCTTGACTTTTCTATGTGATATTTGGTTGAATGCTTCCCCCTTGTCCTCCCCTCCCTTCTTCTCTCTTCTCTCTTTTTGTAGATATCATGCGATTTCAAATCCCACAGAAAAAAAATAGATGAGTTTTAATGTGGCTACTAGAGTGACACACTGGATTTTGTTGACGGAATCACAAAGAGTTGAGGTGGTACTAAAAATTCTTTTCCTTTTCATCCGGCTGAGAGAAGGAGAAGAAGGAATCATGCGGTGATCCGCTTCTACATCACAACTAATGGGTCTCTTTCCTTACATTAAATACTACCCTCATAACGCAACAACCTCGTTTGATTTATAAAGCTCTTCTTATGTAATGAGCAACTTATTGATTGAGTCAAAAGTTCATCTGGTTGACAGTATCTGCACTTTGAATGCGGAAAAGAGAAAGAGAAGCTGTTAGATTTTATGCACATGTCTGTAGTAGGCTTTGGACGCCTTTACCTGTAATTAAAAGTTGCTTATATCTAAAACCTGGGTAGGGCAAACCGTGTCTGCTACATCGATTTGACATTTAATTAAGAGGTCGTTCTAGCTTCTGCAGGAGAAACTCTATTTTCCTTCATTTCCCATGTGAAGCTTGCTATTGTCGTGTTATTCGTAGCATTTATGCCCCCTTCACCAGAGTGTTCCACATGTTTTACGTATTTAAGAGAAAAAATATTTTGCTTCCCCTTCTCTTTTTGAAGACTCTTCTTTACTCTTCTTTTAGCTTCCTTTATCTTTTTTGTCTGCAAAGTGTAATTAAAATATTTTATCAGCTTTGTCCCAGACGTTTCCACGATATACTCTGTAGGGAATGTTGCCTCGAAAAATAAAAAGTCTTCGGTTATGCACCAGCTCTTTTTTCTTGGCCTAACTGAGTTATTTAAAGCCGATGCTATTATTTATTATACAAGTTTTGAATAATCAAAATGACTGCAACATTATTAAGCTCCCTTTTCCAATTCTAAAAATACATTATAATATATCTGCATGGTAGCATCCAGGGGCCCAGGTATACAGTATCTTAAGCAATCACCTTGACCAATATGTCCATCTGGTCTAAGGTCTGTCATGGCAGCTAAGTCAAGATAAATACCACCTGATGCCTCAACAATCGTTTTAGCAATGGCATTCCTACGCTTGGCCTCACTCCATCCGTAGGGTAGCCGCTTGAGTTCATCATCTGATAATTCCTTTGGAAGAGGTCGTTCAGCATCTTGGCAGAACGGATGACCAATAGACGAACTTTGGTAGATAACAAGAGCATCAGGTGAAGTTTCACGGATAATCTTCATGGTGTGAATCAGCCGTCTGGTAAACAAAACGTCGTTATCGTCTAATTGAGTGGTGCGGCTAAGAATAAGGATTGGGTAAGATGAAAGCATATTGGAAGAGACAAATGGCCATTCTACAATATTGGCTAGTGGATGTCCTTGATCTCGATTATGAAACTTTCGAATAGTAGACAGGACATCGTTACGGACATATCTAAGACGCGTATCCTTGTGTTTACAAATAGTATGATCTATTAAAAAGATGAATAGACATGTATTATTTATATTACAACTCTCACCTTTGCAGTTCAATTCACCAAAGCAAACAGTAGGATCATCTCTAAAGGTATCCAAGAACAGCTCATGATATTGATAATGCGCAAGATCACCGACCAGCAGCATGTTTCTACCCTTCAGCAATTTACACCAATGTGAGCTAGATACCTTTCGACTGACGGAACATGCCTGAGAATGAGGCTTCCACACATACTTTGTCTCTTCTCGTTTCTCGCTTTGTTTATGAGTCTTGTAGAACTTGCGGTCACATGAGCTGTAGATGGGTTCCTGCAGATGCTTCAATCGAAAGCTATTCTGTTCATCTCGTATCCACTGCCCCATGGTCCAGCATGCCAGTTTTTCTCGAAATGCCGCAGTTTGGGTTGCTGTTAGGTTAGTGCCTCGTATGGTGGTATATTCAGCAGCAGGAAACTTTCGTAATGCGAGCTTCTTGGCTTGTAAGATGGCCTTTTCGAGCAAGATGCGTCTATCCTTGGCCGATAAGTCTGTTGACAGCAGATCAATATTCGGTCTGAATTGAGGTCGGGTGTGAGATCGTTGGTACCAAGGAAAGTCCATGTAGGTTGTTCCATTATCCTGTTGAAAGGTGAGTGTGGGTTGCTTTTGATTGTAGCGAATGTATGCTTTTTGGGTTGTTATTTTATCATGTTTAACAGTGTCCTCTATTGTTGTTGTTGTTGGTTTTATGTTGTTGTTATAAGCATGAATACACAGATAGACAAGGAACAGTAGGACTGCATAGATCAGCCAGTCTATGACTTTCTTCTTCCTTGGCTGCTGTAACATGATAAAAAAAGAAAGAAAGAAAGAGGAGTTTTTATTTTGGATGTACAAATAAATCAAATGTAATAGGCTTATTTACAGGCTTGTATCGACTATTATTCAAACAAGCATTAATATACAATGTACCATCTAATGTGTACCCATGAGATTCATGAATATGACCAAAGACGCACACTCGAGGTTTAATTCGCTTAATTTTATCCATCAAGTACTGACAGCCGACATGTCTATCATACCGTGTCACCTTGTCTTGATAACCAAATGGAGGTGTATGTGTCACTAGAATATCAACAGCGTCTGGTATGGTATTCCATATCTCTGACATGTCTGTCAACATAAAGGCACCACCTAAATGAATAGGGGCATAGGGTGAAACGAACAAGCAAAGTGAACCAAACTCAGCAGGCAGTTGATATGATTCATGCTCCAGATAAGTTAGACCATGTTTTTCCATCAGTGCAAGTATAGTTTGTTTGTGTTTTGTAAAATTGAATGTATCATCCAAGTAATCATCATGATTTCCACCTGTAATGATCTTGATCTTGTGAGGTAAGGAACCTAACCATTCTATTGTCTCTGTGAATTCAGTCATTCGACTGTTCTTTGTGATGTCACCAGCATGGACTTGAAATTAGATTAGTTTTTCTTTTTTTGAAGTCGTTGATACTATTTACTTAGTACATCACCATCAGGTATTTCGAACTTGGTCTTTCCATGTGTATCTGATATGCATATAAAACGAATATAACCATCCTTTTTATCCTCTGTGTTATTGACTAAAATCATGCTTTATAAAGAAAAAAAAACATTCACCCCCTCTTTCCTTTTTTTCCCCCTCTTTTTTTTTTTTTTCTCTCTCTCTCTTTCTCTCTCTTTTGTCTTTTTTATATTAATTCATATATACACCCAATGTCACAAGATGTGCATGCTGATTTACCAACACTAGATCAAGTGCTCACCAGAAAGACATTACCACCAGTCTGTTTATATAACTTTTATATTGTTATGAGAGATAGACTAAAGATGGAAGAGATACTAGACTTTTATCTAGACTTACAACATCATGAATTATTATGGAGAAAATATGTCAAAGCCATGCATCGTACAGGGCATTTATCTGAGGATGATCTAAGTGAAGGATATCAATCTCCTAGACTATTGAGTCGTTTATCCCATTCACCTCAACAAGAAGAAGCCGAGAAGATACCCAGCCGTAAAGAGTTGGCAGAATCAGCACAACGATTATTATTAAGATACCTGGTACCATCTGCAACAAAAGAAGTAACCCAATTACCGTCTGAACTAAGGGCATCCCTTGTTAAAGACTTACAAAAGTCTGAAGCAAGAGATGATCCTTTATTGTTTGCAGAAGCTAAACAGTACACACTTGAGTATATGCAACGATTTGCTTATCCAAAGTTTCTAAGATTAAAAGCATGGGGGAATGTTACGCTCTATCAGCAGCTGGGAAGATTGGTTATTGGTTTAGTCTGTTTGCTGGCAGCATTGACTACATCACTTTGTTTTATATTCCTAGATTATCCACAATGGGGCACACGATTTTGGGTAAAAAGACAAAAGCATAATTCATTTATAGTGGCTCATTTTTATAATATATAGATCCTATTACCTTTCTGGCTTGGAATCTATAATATGTTGGTATTCTTGACTGGATTAGATCCTCTTTGGGTCCTTGTATTCAATAAGAGGTACACACGCCCACATTGTTCACTAACACGTGTATGGCTATAATTATAATTATTATTATTTAGTGAGACTACGACATTTAAATTCAACTCAATTAAGCAACCACAAGTCAAACGTATCTTGGTATCAAGGTCTATTTGGCAATTAGCTCAGAGTATTATCATTTCTATAATTTGTACTATTATCTTTTGTGCTATTCCACCTCATCGTCTATAACCCTACTTTATACGCGTGTGTAATTAAAATACATCTATTTTTAATAATGAAAACAAGAATTATATCAATCATTCACTACATGACAAGTAGTAGCGGTAGTGATGATACTATTTTGGATGTCAAAAGCAGTCATTGAAATTTCATTTTTTTTTTTTCTAAAGAATAAATATGATCATTTTACTGGTCTTTTTCATTCTTTTTCTTTTTTTCTATCATGTCAATTGAAAAAAAACAATGTCCTTTCTACACAAGATTATGAATAAAGCGACTAGGCAGAATAGTCAAAGTAGTAGCAGTAGTAGCACTATGACACAGGATTCAAAACATCAACGGCGGTCTTTCTTTGGATTTGGTGGTACAACACAAGAGGATGATAAAAAACCTAAAATGGAACAAGTACCAGTGAGTGATGAAAATACAGGTAAAATAATAAAATAACAAAACGTGTACATATACATATGCTAACATCCTTTTTGTTAATAGATAAAGGTACGTAAATTGGCTTATAAATAGTCAATCTAATCTTTATAGTTGTAGAAAGAGAGAAATTACAGCAAAACTATTTAAATTATGATCGACAAATACTACAACAACGCAAGAATAAACCTCAATTAAAATTAGATGATTTTAAGCTATCGAGAACATTAGGAACAGGCTCATTTGGTAGAGTTCATTTGGCACAATCAAAACATAATAATAGGTATTACGCCATCAAAGTTCTTAAAAAGTCTGAAGTTGTACGATTAAAGCAAGTTGAGCACACAAATAATGAAAAACATATTCTCGAAACAACTGCAAATCCATTCATGGTGAACCTCTGGGGCACATTTCAAGATGATATCTATCTTTACATGGTCATGGATTACGTGCCAGGTGGAGAATTATTTAGTATTCTAAGGAAAAATAAGGTACAGTTTTAAATATATGCATGTGTGTGTCCTGTCAACTAATAACTTAGCCTGTTGATATAGCGATTCCCAGATCACGTAGCCAGATTTTATGCAGCAGAGGTTGTCTTGGTTATCGAATACCTTCATTCCAAAAAGATCATCTACCGTGATTTGAAGCCAGAGAATGTATTGATTGATGTGAATGGACACATAAAAATTACAGATTTTGGATTTGCAAAGTATGTATCTGATATTACATGGACACTTTGTGGAACACCAGATTATTTGGCACCAGAAGTGATTCAATCCAAAGGATATGGTCCAGCTGTCGATTGGTGGAGTTTGGGTATTTTGATATTTGAAATGTTGGCAGGATATCCACCATTTTATGATGATGATCATCTCAAGCTCTATGAAAAAATCATTCAAGGGAGAATTAAATGGCCGGCCTATTTTGATCCTCATGCAAGAGATTTACTCAAACGATTACTCACAGGTGATCTCAGTAGACGATTCGGAAACCTAAAGGCAGGCGCACAGGATATCAAGGATCATAGATGGTTCAGCGACATTGATTTTGTCAAACTAGCCAACAAACAAGTGAAGCCACCTTATGTACCAAATATAAAAGGAGAAGGAGATTGTTCACATTTTGATAAATATCCAGAAACAAACGAGATATACGGCGCAAATGGACCAGATCCTTATAGAGAAAGATTTCTTACTTTTTAATAGATGTACATACATATTCCTTTAAAAGGATTGAACAGAGACAAGTCCTATATTTAATCTACTTTTTGCTTCCCCCTATTCTTTTTTTTTTCTGTATTAAATTAATTAAAAAGTTGACGTTTTTCTTAAAGAGTAGATTTTAGCACAATTGGAATATTAGTCAGGAGACGTTGCTAGGTGACCAAATTGATTGTGCGACACAGCCATTGGAGGGGGGGTGAGAGTAGAACAATACCAAAAAAAAAAAAAAAGTTGCAGAAAATTATTTTTATTACTACGTAACTTTTTAACATGAGCCACAGTGGAGAAGAAGAATCAACTGTGGTGTCTATTCCTAATAGTAGCAGTAATGAAACTACTCCTTTAATTGCCAAGCAACAACAGCAACAACAACAACAACATAATAGAAAAAGAGAATTGCTTGGATTACTGTACATGACTCTTTCTGCTCTTGGCTTTTCTACCATGTCACTATTTGTTAAATTAAGTGGATCAAGCTTTCCTTCATTTGAAATCGTCTTTGCTAGATCTATTGTTCAAGCAGTGCTTGGCTTATTGATCTGCATAGTGTTAAAAATAGACCCTTTGGGTAACAAAAACATTCGTGGGTGGCTGTTTTTGAGAGGTTTTGCAGGAACTGTGGGTCTCAGCTTATTCTATTTTAGTATCACACAGCTACCGTTGGCCGATGCAACAGGTATACGATTCACACATCTACTACTTTTTTTTCAGTTTATCGACATTTTCGTATAGTTGTCTTTTTCTTGGGGCCATCATTCACTGCTATTTTAGCTGCCATTGTTCTCGGAGAAGCCTTTACGCTGTTTGACGGTATCTGTTCTGTGGCATGTCTTGCAGGCGTTGTTTTGGTATCAAAGCCTCAATTCTTATTTGGCGGTGATGACAAGGAAAGCAAGGATGTGAGTGAATGGGCCAGACTTTTTGCTATCTTTTGTGCTCTTCTTGGTGCAGTTATGTCTGCTATTGCTTACGTTACTGTTCGCAAGATTGGAAAAGGCGCGCATTTTATGGTACACGTTGTTTATTTTGGGGCTATTTCTTCCGTCTTTAGCTTGGTGGGCATGTTTGTCTTTCAAAAACCAGTGGCTCCCCATGGCATGTATGAATACAATATGTTATTGCTTGTAGGTATTACTGCTTTTATTGGTCAATGCTTCTTGAATCAAGGGTAAGTATCCCTAATGCTTCTATAATATATACCTCAATTAACAACTTTGCTTTAGATTACAAATGGCTCCTGCTGGTCCAGGCACGCTTATGCGTATGAATGATGTCGTATTCGCGTTTATATTCGGAATATTCATATTACACGAGTATCCAGATATGTACAGTATCTCTGGTGCAGCAATCATTGTATTAATGACTTCAGCAATGGGAATCCATAAAGTGTATTCACACTCGAAACAAAAATAAACAAGACCTTACACATTAGTGAAGGCAAGATACACAATAAGAAAGATAATTCATTACGTTGGTAACAGCTGGCAGATGTATGAAAAGTAAAATAAGCTATCATTTTTATGCAAAATATTGACCTTTATGGCATACTAACAGCTTTAATTTCCAGTTGATGCACGTAAGAATAATCTCTGCAACTCATATAGCTGATAATCATAATTAACTGTTTTCATGTGAGCATTTATTGGCATAAACTGAGTTTGGTTAGCTTTATATGTTATCCCCGGCTTCTTTTATCTATATCATGCCTTTGGTTACATTAAACATCTCTTTCTTTTCCTGACAGGGCCAATTTTTGGTATAATTTTTGGTGCCCTTTGTATATTTTCCTTTTTCTTTTCTTATGAATCTTTTTGAAAATCGTGTTGAATCATTTCATAACAACACTGTAAAATGGCCTCATACGCAAAAGAACTTTCACAAGCCAGAAACTGTAATATTTAAACACTCACTCCACACATTCGTTAACTGATAAAGAAGGGGAGAGAACCCTTTTTGTAGTTTGCGAGAGCCGGCCTTTACTTTACGCGCAGACCTAAAATGACAGACACTTTAAAATGCTTTCTATGCAAAGTTGAATTAAGTCAATGGAAGCAAGGACAATCTCCATTTACCCGTCATGCTTATGAATCACCAGATTGTCCTTGGGTTGTGCTTGATTTTCCAGACAATCCTTCTCATGATCTTGACGTTGATCAGACAACGGCAAAGGGAGCACGCATGCGGTCTATGCGGTTAGCGACTTTTACAAGACATAACTATTGGCCACCAAAGAAAAAGGCTCAGAAGGCACTGCCGTCTGCTACCAAGGTAACCGAAAAACAAAAGGAGCTCCAACGGAATGCTTGAGCTAAAGTGTCCTAGATTGCAAATGCTGGTTTCTATTTTGCTCCTACCCGAGAACACCCAACGAGAGTAAGGTGTCCTTATTGCCACTCAGAGATAATGGACCCCAGTGTGATTGAAGATATTATGTAAGTCCGTGTATACATATAACCTTATGTACAAGTAATTGATTAAAACCTGTTTATTTAGTGAAGAGCATAAGAAGCTAAACAAAGAATGTATCTTTTTTAAAAATACTAGAAGCAGTAGGAGTAAGGTATCGTTAGCTACATCAGAGGCTCGTAGTGTACTGTCTGCTTCAAAGGTTAGTTGCTGTATGCATATATCAGATTTGTTTATCTAAAAGGGGAAGAATAGAATAATTCACCATCAGAAGCCAATTCTGAAAATGATATTTGGAGTATTGATTCGACCTTCACTCCTGCACCAAAGTTGACCAGAAAAAGCCGTCTAGTCACTTACTCAAAGAGAGAGTCGCGTAAGAGACGTGATACAGGTTTCAGCTCTTCATCAAAAAGTATCTCTAAAAAAAGTAAAGATGTCAAACGTCCAAAGATAATAGTGCATGAAACGAACCCAAACCCCAGTGACGCAACCAACAATAGCAATAGCGATGAACCTTTAATACAGAATGTTCCTAGTCAACAAAAGGAGTTGTCTACATTTATTCCCACACATACCACTCATGCTGATATAAGTATGGATGCACCTTCTGACAACATTGTTGCTTCAAGGACAACCAGTCCTGGTCAATCAAAAGTAAGAGTTCTGAAGCAGATTGAAGACAATCAAGAAGAGGTAGCTGATGCACGTAAAACTTGAGCCCGTGATTAACCCAAATTTACATTAGCCTAGCATACTCATCAAAAAAGATAAAGGAAAAGGCCGCCAAATAGAACCCACTATGACATCTATCCGACCATTGGCAAAGAAAAACTTGAGTCTCTCAAAGAAGAAAACAAACACAAATGATCCATACATACTCATCAACGACCCTTCATCTCACCAATCTGTTGGCAGTAGCAGTAGTACTAGTAGCAGCCATGATAGCAACAACAGTAGTACTAGCATTAGTAATAGCCACCCATTCCATCATGTTATACCGACACCCCCACATAGCCAGACATTATTCTCAAGAGACACTGAGCCTTTAGATGATCTAGCGAACCAACAAAGTGGTGCATATGTGTTTGATGTTGAGTCTTTGGATGATGAGGCAACATCTATTCAGCAGTTGAATGAACCATTGCAGTTTATGCAATCTACACCAGCTCAAAGTTCACAGATGGAGGTTGATGCGCATGATATCTTTGGAAGCCGTCCGTGCTCGCCTATAGAACCCAAGAACGGAACGATCGAAGGTTCGATTGGGGATACACCTGTGACATCCTATAGAGAAGAGGAAGGACGTACAAGAAGGTTGATTACATTTGAAGAAGGTGAAGCAAAGTTAATACGACATTGGTCACCACCTACCTCGCCAAGCGTACCTGCTTTAAATATGCATGAAGAGCATGTTAGTGATGAAATGATGACCGAACTTGATGACGAACAAAAGAAGATGACAGTTGAGCAGTACACCCTTTCTTTGATTGAACAAAGCATTCAAATCATAAAGGAAAAGGGATATGAGAAGATTGAACAGATTGAGAAAGAAACAGAGCGTAGACGACGAGAGATATTGTCTAGACAATTACAGTAACCATCTTACGAATATGCACATACATTGATTATATCGACAAAACCTTGTTTACATGACCTTCATCCAACATACAGAATGTGTCTTATTGATGACTTTAAGAGAATAAAATAAAACTTTAATTAATTTATGCTCAAGTTAAAGATATAACAAACATACTATAAACATAAAAAACGACCCAGTCACTCTTTTTACAGTAGTTTTTATTATACAAGCATTTAAAAGAATATTTATATAAAATACATAGTTATACAGTCTTTCCAGAAAGTAAATTCGCCTGTGATCGAAAATAAATGCACCCAATGGTGAGAACAAAATTCATGTTGTATGAAATGTAAATTCGCCGTTACCAAGAATATTTTCGTAGTATCAGCCTTGACATCCATGGATATACACCATTTCCAAATTGAGATGTCGTATTGAAACCGTTGTAGTGTTATCAGTGTAATAACAAAAGAATATGGCTCACTATCTCATTTGACAGTAATATTAACAGGTGGGCTGTCTTGGAGTTGAAATTAACTTAATATTAGAAATAGCCCTCTTTAATCTCTTTGTAAAAGTTTAAATTCTTTATTCGGTTTTTCCATGAAATCAGAAAAACATGTAGTCATATTTGGCAATGCATATTCTTGAATGGTCACGAAGCAGATTGCTTCTATTTGACATGATTTCTTTGTCCTAGGTACCCAATCCTGAAACTTGTTTGAAAGAAAAACATATAAAAACCCATTTTAATTGAGTCCTTTTTTTGCTTCTTTACAGCAGTTATCAAATGTCCCTCTGAGTGTTCAAAGATTCACAAATCAAAACTAGCCTGTCCTCATGGTCCTTGCTCTGAGTCGCTTGTCCCGCCCTCTCTGCTCTCTGGCGCGTATCTGGAACGTTCCCCAATAGTCTCTTCTGACGCCCTGGGTTCTCTCTATCCTCCGTTCCTTTTTTTGTTTGTTTAAACAATCCTGGGTAGTTATCGCTACCCTCCCCAGAATGCATCTTGGTGGTAAGTAAAACTAATATTAGGATATATTCCCTAATACTAACATACTCTTTCTCTCTTTTTCTACATATACTCATTATCTCTCTCTTTTGACATAATGTCGTTTTATTCAAACGTGTTTTTCTTTGTCGTCTTTTTACGTAAATAATTTTTTTATTTTACAACAACATTTTATAAAATTAACGTCAATAATTAATAAAAATACAGTATTAAGCGCCGGAAGTCATCTCTGACTAATTCATGTGTCGATGAATCTGTGATAATCTCTTTATTATGTTGAAACGAGTGAGAGCCCATCAGTAAAAATAGCGACATTTTATAAAACAGGATTGCTACATGAATTTATTACGACCAATGAGAATTGGGTATGACCCGTCTATAAGAACAATGAATTTTGTGGTCAATTTTCTTATACTTTTCTTTCTCCTACGATAAGATGGAGCTCTTATAAGATAAATACGATAGATATGTTGCTTGCTGTGCAAATTGAATTGCTTGCATCGCATATTATACGAATGCTGTGTACATTAAGAGACTAGAGAGCGGGTTTCAGTAGACGTTTGATGCGATGAGCAATTAACAGAAATGGAAGCTCACAACGACAGGCAAAGTAGTTGAAGACGCCATGTATGCATTTGGAATAAAATTCACAGAAGATCACCTTGTTCACTCTTTTGTACTGAATACACCCGATCCAATCCATCTAAATCATGGGGTATTCACTGAACAAGAGCTTCAAGGAATCAAAACATGACAAAAAACCTATTGTACACATTCCCAATGGTCTCTGAGAACGCATCAATTCTTTTTCAGAAAACGATTGTGGAAAACTACAGCAAAAAATCGATACTTCGTGGCCATGGCAAGCGAACCATGACCTCTCGAAGAACAACAATTCTGGTTGGGTGAGAAACACTATATACGGTCTTGCCCAAGAGTATGAGGCGAACAACTCTTTCTAAGACTATTCTTGAGGGTTGGTATAATGTAACTGTGTGGCGTTTTTTTGTTACTGTTTTCGATATACGGAATAAAACTGTTATTCTTTATAAAATTTTCTTAAAACCATATTATCGTACTGACTGATTGTCAATGAGATTTACCAAAGTATGTGTTGTGCATGTAAAAAAGTTTGTTTGTCTTGCAGTTGTTTGAAGAATGGCAGACTTTCAAGTCAGAAGTAAACCGATCTACAGCTATATTCTTGGCGTAGAGCCTTCAAAGAATAATTAGATCTGTTATTCTATCTCCTAGGGATAAGTTGTCTTCGCTCTCGTCTGTTTTTCTTTCTTTTTTACATCTGCTCTATACGAATCCGATTGCCATTCAGCTGAGGGCATAATAGAGCATGTAACTGACTCAATATGATGAGTTCGGTGATTTCAGTAGGCAACAGCGGTCCAATAAATTATGGGTAATACTAGGAGCACTGCAGAAGAGCACTGCAAAATCCAAAAAAGGTAATACTTCTCCAAAACTGCAAAGAGCTCTTTTGAAAGAAAATTGAAAGGCTGCTCAAGTGAAAATGAATTATATAGTTCGATTTATATATGAATTTTACAACTAAAAGTAGCATAATTTATAAAACACACCTTTAACAATGACTTTTTTTATGCCCTACCACTCTTTATGGGTTATATATCAGTAATACATTGAGGATATTTATACATTGCTCATAATGTGTTATCTTCTTTGCTTTGAAAAGTAAGAAAACTGGATTCACATTGTAAGTAGAGCCTTTGTTCGTATAGTATCTATATATAGTATCTCTTTTGCCTGACAACTTTCAGATGTTTTCTACTAAACCAATAAAATTGTACTACTCACTCATAGTATTACACCTTGTTTCATAAAAAGAGGCCTTTATATAGACTAACTTTGTCCTCAATCTATAGACAATAGCTATCCAGAAATTAAGTGCTTTATTGTAGTATTTAAATGCTTTTGTATTTTGGGGGGTATTACCTTTTTGGATTTTGCAATGCCCTTTTGCAGTGCCCCTAATACTACCCTAAATTAAAATGCTTGATCATCAATTTGATGCTCTTTTTACAGCTCAAGGGAGACAAAATTCGTGACATGTACTCATTTTATTTATATTTTGACATTCTTATACATTTACATAAACTGCAATGTCAAGCGTAGCAGGAGAGGAACGTTCCACTTTTGACTTTATTTACGCCTCCTTAATAAATTTATCTGGACTAAGCCTTTTTTCAGGAGTGATTAAGATGTGGACGTAAACGATATGATCATGTGGGATGTAAACAAATAAACAAATAAAAGAGAGCGGACACATCCTTTTTCTTTCTTTCTTTTTTCCTCTCTTTTGTCATTCTTCAATTATTCTCTTGGTCTCTTGGTAAGTTTTTTAAACTTGCTCAGTACACAATTTGCGCCGGTTGTATATGCTCGGTTCTTAAGCAAACGTCTCACTATGGAACTCGCACGACTCTTCCCTGATGAAACCTGAAGCCCACTCTAAATCGATTATTCACACCAAGTAGGAGGCCCTCCGGACGTCTCTGAAAAGTCAATAAATAATGCGTCTGTGGCGAAGCTTAAGGTTGACTCTTGAAAGAGAGCTTTCATAGTGTTGCACTAGTAGCTGGGTTCTGTAGCCATCGTTAGCCTGATCATAAAAAAAAAATCCTGCTGCCCTGGTTGTTCCAATATGGTATTTGGTGTGTTTATCTGGTTGTTCTACTCGGTATTTGGTGTGCTTGTCTGGTTTCCCTGAATGGCTTGGGACTTTGTCTGCACTTGTGGCTGGTCTGTTCCGGAGAAGCGTCCTTTGAAGGTTGGGCAGCCTTTCATGGGTCCATCAGCTAGCAGCGATCATAATGCAACTTGTTTATTTGGTTTTGGGGACTTTGTACTGACTTTTTTTTAGGTAATAATTTATGTTGGCTCCATAATAACCAATAAACTACTTTTTTTTAAATCATTTCTATTACTTTTTTTTTGCTTTTTTTTTTGGTGAAATTTGATAATATAGACGCTGAAGAGTATCAAGTACATTTTTAGGACTTTTTTTTATAAATCAGAGTTACAATTTCTTCTTCAAAATATAGCGTTCGTTCTAACACTAAAAAGCGCTTAAATACAACAGAATAAGGCAACACGTGCTTAAATTAAAAAAAAAAAGTAGCAAGATAAATAAGCAAATAAAGCCTTGTTTTACCCAAAAAAATTAAAAAAAAAAAGCTTATCTTACTCAATGTAAATAAGCCTTTACGAATGAGCATTGGCGTAGTTATTAGCTTAAAATCGAATAGGACTAAAGGAGCTCTTAAATTAAATTACCAGAGAAAAATTTAATATTGTAGACTTTTACGAAAAGAGGAACGTGCCATTCTCGGCAAAAAAAAAAAAAAAAACGCATACATACAAAAACTTGAAAAGAGATTGAAAGAGGCTACCTAAAGGAATATGGTGATGACAAGGTGCATTTAACATAAATATAAGATTGCTACGACGATAACTATTTATTAATAGCTCTTACAAAACCATGAATCAGAGGGAAATTTTTATTTCGTTTTTTCTGTAAAAACCCAGAAGTTTGGTGCATCAAACTCCCATGTTGAACAATCATCATCACTATTGAAACTCATTTTGAATAGTAAATAAAAATAAACAAGAGATAAAGGATAGAAAGAGAAAGAGAGAAAGGGCATTGACCACAAATTAGAGCCTTGGTGGAGGAGAAAGTGTGATACAAAAAAAGGCGCTGCTCACTTGCATAATTAAATAAGCTTAAAATGATATGAATAGTATAACTCATGCTTTATGTCTATGAACTTATCTTGTTCGTCTTTTATGCTTAAAAAATGAATAAAAATGTTCCTTTATGTATATGCATATTGGTATGCTTGTGTGTGGGAGTTCGTAAAGTGGGTAACGTCACAAAAGCTTATGCTTTACAGAACTTTTCTTTGAACCTTATTCTTACTCGCAATTATAGAATTGATAAATATAATGCGATCATGAATAGCATTGGAATAAGCTTGCATGATTTTTCAAGGGTCACCGTCGGATGCCCTATATGCTTTAATGCTGTACATCCGGATGCTGCTTGAGTGTATTTGAGGTAAAGACTGAATGGTGTTAGGATGTTGAGAGAAAATTTCAAGATAGATACTAGCAGACCACCTTTAGAAATGCAGTTGGACGATTACAACATTCATTCAGCTAAAGTAACAGACGATATGGTTGTCCACACGGATATGTCAAGAGCTGTGGAGCCTTTCATAAAGGGATAAACTGAGCCTGAAAAAACAAGGTAAAATGAGGTAAATTGATATGTAGCAAGTGGCCGGCATTAATACATGCATTCGTAAGGCGCACTTTCTACGCTCAGCAGCAAGTTCGTGGGTAGTAATGCATGGTTATAATATTGAAAATTCATTCAAATTGGCATTGAATAGCTTGAAAAGTATTATTCCAAAAATTGAAAATGGGTTTGTACAGTTTAAATACGATAATGATGCATGTAAGCAAAGTCCCAGTGTGATTTCAGAAAAGCGATGGTATTGGCGCTAACCACGGTTTATAATGATATCCATGCCCGTTATTCCACCCGATACTCTGTAAAACAAACAAAGAAATAAAGACATATATCGAGTGTATAACTGTAAAAGATCATTTATTTCTGTGTATTCAAAACGATCTTCTGCTGTTATTTTTACTATACTCGCCAACATCATTAAACCAGCAGAAAAAAGCTATTGATAAGCCGTAATTACCTGCTGCCTTTGAAAAACTTCTTTCGTACTTCAAGTATCCATCACTTGCAATTGAAGTTAAACACGCAAGCAAATAAGCTTTAACAGCCATTTGTATACGACAGAAAGAATGCATACAGATTCTTTTTAGTCATACACCTTGTAGGAATAGTTCTGTTTTTCCTTCATGCTTGGGCTCCAATAAAAGTATTACTAAACACAAAAAATTCGCTTCCATTAGGAAGACGAGCAGCAGGAGGTAGAAGTACATGCTTGCTTTTGACGTTTATTCATTTCAGCTTCAGGCACCAGTGGCTTAACTCGTGGACTTTTCAATGTCCGAACCCATGGGCCTGGTTGTCCTTCTCTTTTATTTTGCTAATCTATCCACACCTATGCATCGATTACAACGTGCGTTTTACTCGACAAGATCTATTCTACCCAACAAAACTATAAAATCGATTCTAAAGAATGAGACTAGTGATGCACACGTTTCAGTCACTGGGTGGATACGTTCTGTTCGAAAACAAAAACAGCTGAGCTTTGCTGTCATCAATGACGGTTCCAATTTGAAAGGCATACAGGCCATCTTGAATAATGAAGATGCTAAAGCGTAAAGAGAAAAAAAATGCTTTCTATTTTATGTACACACGTGTATGCTGACACTTTTTTTTCTTTCTTGAACAAAGATTGACGACAGGAGCTTGTGTGGAGTTGAAAGGGTTGTTGATAGATAGCCCAGGTAGAGAACAGAGTAAAGAACTTCAAGTGAGCTCTGTCAAAGTGTTGGGAGAATGCGATGGTGTAATATACGTGCTTGTATCTTGCAGAAAAACTAGTTGATTCATTTTTTTTAACAAAATAGATGTACCCTCTTCAAAAGAAACGCCATTCGACTGAATTTTTGAGAAGTATTGGTCACCTAAGGATGCGTGGTAATACAGGCAGTGCAGTTTTACGCGTAAGAAATGCAGCTGGCGAGGGGTTCCACAGTTTCTTCAGAGACCAAGAGTTTATTTTAACCAATACTCCCATCTTGACTGCTCATGACTGTGAAGGAGCTGGGGAGGTCTTCAAGGTTCATGGAAGCGAAAAGTTTTTCAAGAGACCAGTCTATTTGACTGTCTCTGGACAACTACAAGCAGAGACAGCGGCATCTGCCATGTCTCGAGTTTATACGTTTGGACCGACCTTTAGAGCAGAGGAATCGATGACATCGCGTCACTTGGCCGAGTTTTGGATGCTGGAGGCTGAAATGGCCTTTATTGATCGACTAGATACCCTTCTGGATGTAGCTGAAGCTAGTATCCAGGAATCAACCCGGTACGTCTTGGAGAACTGCTCAGAGGATATTGCGTTCTTCAACCAGTGGGTAGATAAATCATTACTGGAAAGACTGCAAAAGAGCATCGATAAGCCATTTATCAGGATGACCTATACAGAAGCAATAGAAGTACTACAAAAACACCAAGACAAGTTTACGTATCCAACTACCTGGGGATCCAGCTTACAATCTGAACATGAGAAATACCTGGCATCTGAGTACTGTCAGCAACCGGTTTTTATAACGGATTATCCAACAGAGCAAAAGCCATTCTACATGAGAGCTAATGATGATGGCAAGACAGTAGGTTGCTTTGACCTATTAGTACCTGGCATTGGTGAACTGATAGGAGGATCATTACGTGAAGAAAGATTGGGGTTATTGGAAAAGAAGATGCAGGAAGCTAAATTAAATCTGGAAGAGTATCAATGGTATCTTGATTTACGAAGATACGGTAGCGCACCCCATGGCGGATATGGTATTGGATTTGAACGATTTATGCTTTGGTTGACTGGGCTTGATAATGTTAGAGAAGTGATACCAATGCCCAGATGGTTTCACCACTGCAAATATTAAAATTTTCTGTTCAATATAAAAAAGTATGATGTATAAATGGATTGGTTTTGGTTTATTCATTTCTACTTGACATTAGTTGGGTACACTTTGTTGAGTAGCAGCGCCCGGTGCATGACTCAATACTTCATCTAAGCTGACGTGTCGAGATAGTTCATTAAATACCTAACATAAAAGTGAGTTATTGTTATCTACAAGATCAAGAGACTACATACAGTTTCATCTACAGGTATAATAGATTTTCGTCTGAAAGTTTGGTATTGCGCAGGTGGACCATCAATCTGTTGAAGATCAGAATGAAGGTCTTTTTCTTCTTTCTGATGGTTTACAAGATCTTCATCGTTTATATTGACACTCTCGAGCTCATTCGTGATACATTCTATTTCATCATCACACATCTTTTGGAATACTTCATTCTTTGATTCTTGTGGTGTGAATTCTGCCTCCTTGCTACTAACTGACATTTTTTCTACTTTCTGTCGCAGTAATTTCCAATTATCTTCTCTTTCCTTTTGTAATTTACGTTCTCTATTAAAAGAATATGAGCTATGTTAAAGAGCTGAATGTTTACATTGCTTACAGTTGCTTTTGGTTTTTGTATTCATTAGCACATTCGTCAAATAAGGCCGGATCGATATCAATACATAGCTTTAACGCCGTATATACCAGACTAAGGATGGTTCTATTATGGAATAAGTCATAGAATATTATCATCTATGTCTGCACTTACTTGTTCCAATGTGTTTTTGAAGTTTTGTATAAAGTTGGAAATATCAGAGGCATAATTACCTTTATGTTTTCTGCCATCATACTTACAACGTAATCGTTACTCCAATAGTACAAGGCCCTTTCTGATACTTGGAAATGGGAACTTGCGACACATTGACTTAATTTAGTAAATAATGGACACATAATCTTTTGGAATTCATGAACATCAATCACATCTAAAATTTCTTCAATTTCATTCAAAAACATCACTTCCTTTGGGCTATTCACTTTAGGCCAGTAACGCAATAGTCCGGTGATGACCTAGAATGAATTGAGTCTCTATGATGATTATATGCATTTTAAACTTACTTCGTGTGTCAAGCTTTGATCCTTTTCCAAGAATTGAACAACACAGTAAGCCAGTTGAGGATGATACAAGACGAGAGATTTGACCTTGTGTAAAGGAATCAAGACATTGGAAAGGAATAGCTTGTGTTCTTCCTTTAATGGTAGTGCAAATCCATTGATGATACTTCCAAGGATTTCTAAAAACTCAGCAACGCCATTGTGTCTCTCGGTTTCATAGATGAATTGGAAAAATATGTTGTTGATGGATCGACGGATGAAGGCACGCAGGTTGAGGAATTTGCCGTAAATTCGGTGCAAGGTTGTCTTTAAGAAATCACGCTCACGAGGATCTTCAGAGTCAAAGAGTTCCAAGAGCTACACTAAAGTCAACACAGTATTCTTTAGAACTCAGGGCAACTTTACCTGATTAATAAACTTGTGATCAATGTACTTTTTTGCATAATTTATGTTGAATTCAGGTGATTCCAAAAATCGAAGAAAGAATTCATAGACGATTTGTAAGTGCGGCCAAGCAAGTTCTAATACAGGCTCGTCTTCTTCGGGATCAAATGCATCACCAATTGGATTGACAGGTGGAGGAATTGGACGGAAGAGATTGATAGCAAACTATAGATGTGATATTAGTTTGCTTGTAAAAATAAAAATAAAGATAATTACCATATGGATAATCTCGGGATACACATTTTCTGTTAGTACGCCTCTGTTCATTGAAATATACTCTAATATTTCTTGAAGAGTCTGACGCTTGATCTCTTTTTCTCGTAGTTCAGATGAAGGATCACTAAAGTCAAATACGACTGTACATTGCTTTATCTTTCTGATAAATAAATCTTGACGCATATGAATTGGCACCTCTAATGATAAAAATATAAGATAATCAAGTATAGACTTAATCTTGACTCCTTACCGTGAAAAGCAGGCGTGGGCTCCAATTGAACTTTTTCAGTGACATAAAATCGAGATGACTTTTGACGACGAGGAGCTTTACTGATAGGAATTTGATCGATAGGTGCATTTTTAAGACGATGATATAAAGGTCCAGGATCGGGTTTAGCGTTATGCATAAAAGTAACATTACCATTTACTCGAGAGGCTTTCACTTGCTATATAGACAAGATGAATATTTACTGTTTATCGTTTCTATTTTTTTTTTTTTTTTACCGTATCTGATGCATTTGAAGGATCAATGATAATATTCGGCTTTGGTGAATCAGGTGCTGTGTTTGCCTTTGGCTCCACCGTCTGTTGTTTATTCAATGTATTGGGCGTATTGGTGATGATAGTATGATTGTTATTTGTAGTCATGGCAACAGGAGTTGGGGTAGGAGTTGTTGGTTCTTGTTGCTGTTCTTGTTTGTTGTTGTTGTTGTTGCTGTTGTTTGAGTCAGTATATTTTGACCTCGTAAGCTATAGACAAGAATAAGTAACGTTGTATGAATATAAACAAGATAAACATTACAACTTCTTTCCATCCTTTCATCATTTTAAATCAACAACTATATACACAAAGTCAATTAGAGCCCTTTTTATGTTCAAAGGTCAACTTACAAAAGTAAATATAAGCACTAAAAAAATAAAGAGAGAAAAAAGGGAGAAAACTAAAGAGTTGTTTTTTTTATAAATATAAAACAAGGTACAAATATCTATCAAAAAGGAGAAGGTCAAAAAAGGGGGGTTAGACAGCACCTTTTTTAATAAACAGAGCTTTTTGTGTACCTTTTCTTTAAATGAACTTTAGATTTTTGCCCAATCAAATAAACTTGAACTGTCAATTTAATTTTGTCTGGTTTTTTTTTTTATATTTAAAAGGACTGTGATATGCTTTCAAGACCTGTCAGAGACTATCTCTTGTTGATATGCCTTCTTTTTTTAACTTGTTCTTTAGTTATTAGTTATTGGTGGTGTTGCTCTTGATATCACTTCAACTGTTAGTCCATCAGTCAAGTCGTCTGTTTTATACACTTCAACGCCTGGGAAGATAACGCAAACGCTAGGTGGAGTGGGACGTAATATAGCCGAAGCTGCCATGAGAACAGGTGCAAGGGTTCGCCTAGTATCTGTCGTAGGTGATGACTTGGCTGGTATAAACATATATGAAGGAATGAAATTATTGAAAATGGTATATACAAAATATGAAAGAGGATAATGGACATTTATGCATATATGCAGGATACAAGACACATTCAAACATTAAAAGGATATAACACAGCTGTAGGATATTAGACAGTGTTATTCTATGTTGATATTAAAAACCATAGGTCTATAATGCATTACATTCAAATACGGGTCAATTGGTAGCTGCAGTGGCTGACATGGATATATTCGAACACATGGATGGCGTCAAGGTGAGTTTAGTAAGTTTATGTTTGTTTCATTTATTTTATTACGTTTGTAGGTCGCATCTATCATACAAAACGAACAACCTAATCTCGTTTGTTTTGATGGTAATATATCATCCAAAGTGATGAAAGAAATAGCCAAAACATGCCATGCATTTCGTATTCCAGGCAAGTTCATAACAGCTTTATACATCACATTAGCCTTACTCTTGCATCTATTTGAAAAAAGCATTCTTTGAGCCCACTTCTGTACCAAAGTCATTAAAACTATTCAATCATCATGAGACTCTTCAAGTACGATCCATAAGATACATTTCCCCAAATCAATTTGAACTAGACGCCATGTCTCAAGAAATCGAGTCGACTCCAGAACTATACAAACAAATCAAGTCCAACAATTGTATTCACATTTATGGTAAGAAAAAATAAAATAAAATGTGTATCTAATGATTTGCATTTATACGTCCTTAAGACGATCTTTCTCCTTTAGCAACGAAAACATTACCACAAGCAATGTGCCTATCTCACTTTATTCCTAATGTGATTACAAAGCTTGGAGAAGAAGGGTGTCTCTATGTAGGTGAAGCGGGCATCAAATATTTTCCACCAGAAACCATTTTGCCACATGAAATCAAGAGTGTCACTGGAGCTGGAGATTGGTAATCTTGATTTCGTAATTTTGTGATATTTATATTTAAACCCTTTTTTTTTCTATGTCAGCTTCGTTGGTACATTCATAGCTAATCTTCAAAAACACCCCATCGACACTCATCTGGATCATATCGTCCAAAAATCTCAACTAGCAGCCATTCGTACCTTAAAATCTGACAAGGCAGTCAGCGTAGACATCAATCATGACTTGATGTTAAACTAATAAAAGTTTATCCGCTCTCGGTCCTTGAAAAAAAAATCCCTGCGTTAAATCTGATATTCCCCCGCGTTCTTTTTTTCTTTCTTTTTTTTTTTTCAATTCAAACCATGTTTGCCGCTTCTCGTGTCTTTGCCTTTGGTGCTGCCAAGCGTTCTTTCTCTACCTCCTCTGCTAACCTTACCAAAGTTGCTGTCCTTGGTGCTGCTGGTGGTATCGGTCAGCCCTTGTCTTTGCTCTTGAAGGAAAACCCTCATGTCACTCACCTTTCTCTTTACGATATTGTCAATGCCCCTGGTGTTGCTGCTGACCTTAGCCACATCAACACCAACTCCAAGGTTACTGGTCACTCTCCCGAAGGTGAGGGTTTGAAGGCCGCCCTTGAAGGTGCTCACGTCATTGTCATTCCTGCTGGTGTTCCTCGTAAGCCCGGTATGACTCGTGATGACTTGTTCAACACCAATGCCGGTATTGTTCGTGACCTTGCTGAAGCTACTGCCAAGTAAGTTATTTTTGTGATGTGTGTGTAGTTGTGTTATTGAACTGTGTCTTAGGTACGCTCCTAACGCTCATGTCCTTATCATCTCCAACCCTGTCAATTCCACTGTTCCCATCTTTGCTGAAACCTTAAAGAAGGCTGGTGTCTTCAACCCCAAGCGTCTCTATGGTGTCACTACCCTTGATGTTGTCCGTGCCTCTCGCTTCGTTGCCGAAGTCAAGAACTTGGACCCCAAGGATGTCAAGGTTACCGTTGTTGGTGGTCACTCTGGTGTGACTATCGTTCCTCTTCTTTCTCAAACCGGTCTTGAATTCACCAAGGAAGAACTCGATGCCTTGACCCACCGTATCCAATATGGTGGTGATGAAGTTGTCAAGGCCAAGAACGGCGCTGGTTCTGCCACTCTCTCCATGGCCTATGCTGGTGCTCGTTTTGCCAACTCTGTTTTGGAAGCCACTGTTGGTGGTAAGAAGGGTGTGATCGAACCCTCTTTTGTCAAGTCTGATGTCTTTGCCAAGGAAGGTGTTGAATACTTCTCTACCAACATTGAACTCGGCCCTGAAGGTGTCGAAAAGATCCACGAAGTCGGTCAAATCACTGACTATGAAAAGGAGCTCATTTCCAAGGCTATTCCTGAATTGCAAAAGAACATTGAAAAGGGTAACAAGTTCGTTCAGTAAATTATTCCATCCCCCCTTTTTCTTGTATACAACATGTCACATTAGCTACACTTCGTAAATAAAGAGAGAGAAAAATATATATTTTTGTATTAAACAAGTATAAAGAAAAGAAAGCTTATTAAGTGAAAATTGCTTGATTGGGCTGAGAGAGAAGTTTTTTTATAGGCTGTACCCCTTTTTCTCTTTTTTTTTCTCTCTAATATTTTGCATGTTTAATACCTCAAACAATACCAACAACAACAACAGCAATGGTGGCATCACTTCTTTTTTAAAACTGAAATGGAGAACTTCAACAAAATATAACATAAAGCCTAGATTACCCAACACGGTAGACGACATAGAACGAGACTGGGTTAGACATAACGCTCTTAAGCTGGCTTTTGAGAACGATTTTAAAGCACCTATTGAGAGATTATTACAAGCAGGTGGTAGTGAAGTATTGGATATTGGCTGTGGTGCTGGCTTTTGGACAACAGTAAATAAAGAATCAGAGATTAACAAGAGACTGATTATCTTTAAAGGATATGGCAGCTCGTTTTCCGCTTTCTTATTTTATTGGTCTTGATATTGATAAAAATGTACTGCCGACAAGGTAAAAAGAGATGAAAGATGAAATTGAATGTACTTATTTTTTGAAGTCCTTGTGGAAGAAATGTATTATACCAACACATGGACTTGATTGAACTTCCTTTACCATTTGAAGATGCAACATTTGATTATGTCTTTGTACGCTCAATGCTGAGCACCATGCCTGATCATCTATGGGATGATGTATTAAAAGAGCTTATAAGAATCATGAAAAAGGGTGCTTATATTGAATGTGTAGAAGCATATGATAACTTATTTGATACCGGACCTTCCATGAATATCCTTATAGAACGTAAGTGATTATAATAGAGAAAAGCGAGGGGGGAAATGGCTGAGCATCACTGATAGTGGTACTTAGATCAACACAACAACCTCCATATTCCCCAACCAAAGAGAATAGCAGAAACCCATGGCCGAATCGACTTGCCAACATCAGTCAGTTGATGGGGATGCGAATCCATCATACACATACACCCGTCGGCTTTCACGGCGGAGAAATAGGTGCACTCTTATTAGAGTACTGGGAGCGAATGATTAGTAGTTATAGAGATGAATGGATAGCTAACAAGTGGATAGATGAAGAAGAACTAGAAAAGACAATAGAACTCATGAAAGAAGAAGTGGAAGAGCACAACACGTATATGTCATGGTATTCTGTCGTCGCTCGGAAAAAAGGCTATGCAGGGCCAGTACTTCAATTTGATGATGTGGATGATGACGGCACTGTTTATACAACGACATGTTGTTAAATAAACTTTTTTTTCTATTTACTCTACACATTTTTAAAATCCACCTAACGCAGAAGCACCGGATTGTGCCAAGTCTGCCAAACCACGCGAGACGACCAAACGTTGGATCTGTGAGGTGCCTTCATATATCATAAAGATCTTTGCGTCACGCATTAACTTTTCGACAGGATACTCTGTATTGAAACCATTTCCGCCAAAGATTTGAACAGCATCAGCAGCGCACTTGTTGGCTGTCTCACTGGCCATAGCCTTGGCCATACTGGCGTACCATGTATTTCTCTGACCTTGATCACGCATCCAGGCGGAACGATAGACCATCAGACGAGAGGCTTCGATATTCATGATCATATCGGCCAACATGAAGGCGACAGCTTGGTGATTGAAGATGGGCTTACCCATCGTCTTACGCTCGAGGGAATATTTCGTTGCTTCTTCCATGGCACGACGTGCTAAACCAACGGCACCTGCGGCCACAAGAGGACGCGTAATATCGAATGCCTTCATTGCGATCTTGAAGCCTTCTCCTTCCCGACCGAGGACGTTTTCGGCTGGAACGACTACATCTTCAAATGTCACACCGCGGGTATCGGAGGCACGTTGGCCCATGTTGATTTCCTTACGGCCCAAGGTGATACCAGGGGTATCGGCATCAACGATGAAACCGGTAAATGCACTTCCTGTAGGTGCATCTGGGTTGGTGCGAGCAAGGACAAAGAACCAGTTGGCATGGCCAGCATTGGTAATCCACATCTTTTGTCCGTTCAGTACCCAGCTGCCGTCAGCCTTCTTGACAGCCTGTGTACGAAGACCGGCAACATCAGAGCCTGCTCCAGGTTCAGTCACACCGTATGAGGCAACCAAAGGTTCTTCTGTCATACGACCTAAATATTTTTTCTTTTGAAAGTCGTTACCAGCGACCACAAGAGGTGCCTCAGCAAGATTGTTGGCTTCAATAGCAGTTTGGATACCTATGTATTTTTATAAATATACACATGTCTGACCCTTTATCATCATTCTCCCTTTTTTTTTTACCTGAACAGCCGTATGCTAATTCTTCTGAAATAAGGGCACTATCGAATACACCCAGTTCCATACCACCATATTTTGATTCTACGTGTGTATTGACTAATCCAAGCTCCCAAGCCTTCTTGATGATCTCCCAAGGGTACTTTCCGGTTTGATCATGCTCAGCGGCAACAGGGATGATCTCTTCCTTTGTAAATTTACGTGCCATCTCCTGGATTGATTTTTGTTCCTCTGTTAAGCTGAAAGCCATGCCCAAGGGAGCAGGAGAAGCTTCAGAGGAATACTGACGAACAAGGGGACGTAATCTGAATAAGGTGGATCGAAGCATGGAGTAAAATGATAACAAAAAGAAAAAGGTCAAGAAAAAAAAATATTTATTTATTTGTCATTTTATTCATGTGAAAGTGACAAAAAGTATTGTGACACTGTGTGAATTAGGAAATTTGACTTAGTGTGTAAGGAGGATATTTGGTTTGAGCAAAAGTCATCAATCGTTTAACGGACTGAATCCACTTTCTTGATGTTTCATCATTTAGGACATGAGCCACTTGAGATGAGCTAATCTTTTCACGCGCTGATCGTTCGTGAATACTAAAAACAAGAGTTATTAAGTTGTATATTTATAAGTTGCACACTTACCCCACCATGGTGACACCAATAGGCCAAGGTGCATTACCAATCGACAGTTGAAGATAGGCATCTTGAGCATCTCGATAGAGTCTCTTTTGCATACGTTGAGCAATTTCAGCCACACGAGCTAATACGTCGAGTTCTAATGTTCCCTTTTTTAAGTGACGCATCAACGGTTTAATATACTCTGTTGCCTGTTTTTGAAGGACTGCTGCTCGTTTTCCTGGTACACTTCTCTTTTCTTCTTCTGGCCTCGCTGCCATATATTCTTCCCATTCTTCCAACATATGCTAATAAAGTTTAGAAGGAATGATAACAATAGATATATGCACTTACTGAAAAATAAGCATATATTTGTGAATACAGTTTATCTACATTGGATGACAGTAATTCAAGTTGAATAGGTTCTACTACCAATGTCTGTCTCTTTTGTTTCTTTTTATTCTCAGTAGGAACGGCTCCTTTTTGCTTCAAGTCATCAAGACGCATGTGTGCTTCCATTTCTTCCAATGTCTTCATAAACTCATTACGTCCTTGATTCTATTCTCAAATATTTAAAATCATATTGCCTTGTTGTATCTATCCTGTTTTACCTCTGGTTGTTGTTCGACCATCAATTCTAATGCACGTAGACGAAGTTTACACTGCTTATCTGTTTCTGCAAACAGTCGAATAGGCTGACCCATTGCTCTTAATCGACGTCTGCATTCTTCTATTGAAATATTAAATGTTTCCACCTCTTCTTCCTATTATAAAGTTAATGTACGTCTCTTCATTTAAAACCATGTTCTCTTTCTTACCGATTTCTCTTGACTTTCTCTTTCGTTCGCTCTTGATTGCTGTCTTTCTAATTCTTTACGCTTAGCCTAAAAGAGAGAAGAATGCTGTTAGATCATGTTTCTATCTTTTGTACAGATTACTTCTTCTTCTTCAAGACGAGCCTTTTTCTAAAATAAAGTCAGTATGGATATTCCCAATGTAGAGAAATAAGCTCTGACCTCCTGTTCTCTCTTTATTCTTTCTTCCTCTTTCTTTTTATATTCTTCTTCTCTGATCCTTTCTAATTCAGCTCGACTAACATATTTTTGCTTTTTATTCTCTCCTTCTTTCTTTTCTGCTGCTTCTAATAGTTTACGCTTCTTTGAAATCTCTTCTTGAATTGCACTCTTTAAGAAATCCATTTTATATGTATTTTTTTGTTCTAGAAAAAAAGAAAAGGGATAAAATTTATTTGCTTGTCAATTATAAAATAAATGTGGTCAACGCTTTATAACAAAATGAAAAGTTGTTAGAGACTTTGTTTAAATGGCCTGATCTTGGCTTCTTTTTCTTTTCTTTTCTTCTTTGGACCAAAAAGTAAGACCAGCTATTCCCCAGCTAGTCCTAAGGTATGTTATATATTTACTCTTGTAAGATATGTAGTATTATAGATCATAATCGAAAATAGTACAGGTGCTAGCCGGGGGTGGTTTGGTTCTTATCAAACTTTGGTCCCATCCACTCTCTTGTTCTTTTTTTTTTTCTCTTTTACTTTTCCGAGGCAGTTATTACTGACTCAACCAGATACACTTCGGGTAAGATATTAATAATTTCTTTATATGTTTACTCACTTTTCTCGTTTCTCTTTTTCTCTTATAAATCCTCTTTATAATGTAAGTATTCAATATCAATGTAACTACCAATCATTTCTTTGTATATCCTATTCTTTCGCTTCTAATGGGCTCTCTTTTATTACTATTTGTTGCCTAAAATCATCATATTTTTTATCAGTGAATAAAGTATAAGGCACATCTTTCCTTAAACTACGGACAGATGAAAGGGGAAGAATGAATAAGAGATCATCTTGGTTCCCTTATTCATAACTGTGTGTTAATCTGAAAGTTCTGTGCTCATGGAGGATGGCACACCCATCCATAGTGCGAAAATTGTTGCCAAATGGAGGGAAGTACAGGGTATAAACAAGATGCCTTGGCCAGCTCAGTCACCGGATTTAAATCCGATTGAAGCTATGTGAAGCATGATGAAGAAGGGAGTCAATGTTGTATGCCCTCATGCTAAAAACCAGCAAGCCATAGAATTAGCTTTGAAGAGTTTCTGAAGGGAGTTTACTCCAGAGACCACCAGCAAGTTAATCGATTCCATGCCGAGGAGAGTCAAAGATGTAATCAAGGCTCGTGGTGGACCCACCAAATATTGTCAATAAAAAATCCAAAAATTACTTCACAGCTCTCATTATTTTCTTTCGATACTTTAATGTAGCTGACATTTCTTCATCATTTCCCCTCTCTTATAACTGCAGCAAAGATATAAAAGGACCACTTCCTTTACTGTTTAGTCTTTAACAGCAACAAAAAAAAAAACTGACTTTTAAAAAATGGTCTATACTTTTGTCCGGGCACTGTACATATTAGTGTGATAGAGTGATATATTTACATAATAATAAAATGAAACACGTGTGTGTGGATGTGTATATAAATCATCCCCCCTTCCATCTCTTTTCTCTTTTTTCTTTCCTCTTCTTTATTGAAAGATGCATCCTTCCAACGTAACAAGCAGCTCATTTTATCAATTGGTCCAGCGATTGACCTCAAAACAATATAACTCCAAGACAAACGAAAAGAGCACATTTGCTGAAACTTATGTGTCATTTCCTGATTTTACGACTTTGGAAAAGAAAAAGACATTATCAACCATGATGAAACCTGAAGTGATGACTGTAGAAGCAACTCCATGCTTTTGTTGATTATGTTTTACAACTGCTTATATTCCCTCTCTCTTTTCCATTGCATTCATATTTAAATATACATACAACACATATTGGCATTTATAGAAACCCTTTTTTTTTATTTATTTCATCAACATTTATATAGCTCTCCCAACTAGTAATAATAATAATAATAAACTTTGTCATTTTAAACATTTTCTTTGTCAACAACAGCAAACTATATAAATATATAGTATAAATGAGTAAAAAAGTGTACATATCTATACATTACTTACGTAATTACTGGGTATAATACCATTCGTACCATCACTCTTCCTTGCTTGCCACCAATTCCCTTTTCTATCTGCCACTTCTAATATTTCTCCTTTTTCAAAGCTTAATTCATTAGGATCGTCTGAATTAGCTTGGTCTATATACAAATAATTGAGCCTTCTTTATATTAAAAAAATAAAGTATTACATGTATGCAATGCTTGAACTTTTTCGACAAAATCAGTATTAGCAGAAGGAGAGCAAGGCTCAGCTTGAGGGTTTAAATTAGTTTGATCTCTCTTCTTCATAGATATCACAAACACTTACTCAGAATAACAGGAACAATTGGCTTGGGTCTATCATCTTTCTCTACAATAACTTCCTCTTTCCTTATTGAACGATTCGCTTGTCCCCATCTTCCAAAAAATGTCGACTTGTCACTTCCAAATATCAAAATCCATACATACTTTCAAAAAAAGGGTTAGCAATGAACATTACACAATAAAGGACATACAATGAAATACCTGCATAATGATCAGTATAATGTACCCTGCTGCATATGTATTGGCTGGTGCCCTAGATATATTCGATCGACTTGATTGAATAACATAATCAATCTGAATTGTAAGCAATGGAACGCTTGTAGCCAATAAGGTCATCATCTATTACTTGAATTAGTCAATGCACACAAAAAAAAAAAATAAACAGGTATATGGCTTACCGTCACACGATATTGTTCTACAGATCCTGACATAGTCATCATGGTTTGTGCTGCGATGATCAATAATTCATACAACATGATCCACCACACGCCATTAAGCACTTTGAGCATACACGCTCCTACAAATGCAATCATCCACCCTATCTACATTTAAAAAGCTAATTTAGATCTGTATATATGTTGATGTTCTATTTATTTTTACTGCTGCTAGAAGCAGAGTCGACAAGACAAAAGGTTGATCTCTTAATGTCAGGTTCATTGTTTGTATTGATAAAAATAAAAGAAAGAAAGGGAAATGAAGAAGGGGTCAAAAGTTGATAGTTCTTTGACAATTTAAAAAAGCTCGGAATTTCATGCTATCCAAAGTTATTGACACGACATCTAGACACACACACAAAAATAACTCAGCATCACTTACCCCACTCTAATTTTCTGCCTTCTTTCTTTTTGCTTATTTCTTTCTTCCTTTATGACCGTACCACGAGATCTATTTATTCAGTTTATTGAACAAGGACTTCAAAAGGGTTTACTACCAAAAGACATTACACGTACACTCGATGGAGAGTACTACTTGGATCCTACATTCATTCAACAGACGATTGTTAAACATATTGAAAAAGAAGGTAGTAGTGAACAGTAAAGTCTCTCTCTCTCTCTCTTTTTTTTT